GCCTCCTCTCCTCTGATGCTTTCGCCATGGGGTCTACAACGGGTTTGGTAAGAGTGCAGGAACTTGCTCTTCTTTACGTTAAGTTAGAGTCCATTTTCAGTGAGCATATCCTGCCACCTTTATATCGAGCCTAGAGTTCTTCCCGACAATCATCTATCAGGGGAATGTCGTCAGGGTGGAGGATGGTTTTCAGTGGTCCCTCCGAAGAGTTCTGCTGCCATGGTGTCCGCACAGAGGAGGAAGAGAAACAGACTGAGGGGCTGATCCTTGGTGTACCCCAACCGTAATGTCTACCTCCTCTGCCAAGCCGTGTATGTAGGGTGCGTACAGCTGTCTTAGCACCATCGTAAATGTCCTCCATTATGGTGACCAGGTATTCCGGACCGTTCCGTTCTCTGAGCGCTTTCGTGAGCACAGCCGAGGTAGGCGGTCGAATGCCTTCTCAAGGTCCAGGAAGGCTAGGTAGCAGGGTCGCCGCTTCTCTCGGTACCTCGCCATCACCTGTCTGGGTATGAGCATGGCAAGAGTGATTGACCTTCCGAGGCATGAAGCCGAACTGTTCCTGCGAGATAGGGACAAGTTCCCTCAGCCTAGTGTTGACCAGGCGCTCGTACAGCTTCATGGTATGGGGAGTCAACTTGATGCCGCGGTAGTTGGAGCACTCCGTCGCGTCCCCTTTCTTTGAAGATGGGAACGATTGTGCTGCTCCTCCACGCATCCGGCATCCTTCCTTCAGCCGTTACGTTGTTTAGGAAGTGTGTGAGCCAACTCACCCCATGCTCTCCAAGGGCCTTCCATGCCTCTATCGGTACCCCGTCTGGACCCACTGCTTTCCCAACCTCACCTAACTCTCGGCGAACCCAATCCGTTGCCAAGAGGGTGATAGAACCTGCTGTCGCTGTTTGTGGGCTGTGCTAATTCCTTGTTTAGAATGCCCAGAACACCAAAACAAAGCGGCGTTCGCTTGTGAAGGATTGCCGCCCCACCCACTGACTACGGGGGAAATGGGCAAGGAAATCGTAATTTGCCGCTCCTCCGCATGCGTTACGGTCGCGGCGTTTTCTTGGAAGGCTGCGCCTGTCGACTGCGGCACCGGACTTCATGTAGATCCCGTCATCATAGATATTCATGACTATTTTTGGTTCTGAACTGCCTGTTTTCGCCATCCAGTACCTGGAACCATCGTCATTTGCTGGCGCGACGTCCGAGCGACGCCCACAAAACGCCTAACGTTAATTTTTAAGCGCTTACTGATTCGTGCCGGTTTGTTTCGCCCACTGACTCTCTCGTTTCGAATGGTGAGAGCGAGGTGATAAGGAGAAAGAGCTGGCACCATTGAATGGGACCTAGTCCGCGCAAGCCCTTTCTGTGCCTTATGCACGTACAAACGTGGATCAGCGGATATTTCCGAGTCCCGGCTTAGCACGCATCAGAACAGCATTTTCTAGCTAGTTGATTCAAAAATCAAGGACAGAAAGAATCATCCTGCCCCACGTTGAATGTGCTGAATCCTGCTGCGAATGGTATGCTGGATGCCTCTTTCGCTGCGCTAGCCGCAAAAATAACGATGTCACCCGCTACGTCGAGGCGCGTCGCATGCCTATCGAGTTGCGAGACAGAACAACTCGTACGCAACGGCTGTGGCATCGCCAGCCACGCCCACCATCGCGGCTACCTGCAGCTCCCTACGATTGAGTCACGCCAATCTGAGTGAACTACTTACAGCTAATATTCGCTCCAAATGCTCGTCCATTATTCCTATTCCATGCCGTAAGCTCTTCTAAACACATTCTAATTGAGATTATTGTTTTAGACCAACTTTCATAAAGATACCTTCGCTACAGTAGTTGGAGTCTCACTCCGTGGAGTGTCAGCATTTTCAGCAGATGATGGCAATTTCCCTAGGGTGCTTTCACGCGATAATCGCTTTGGCAATTCACTCGTCGGCGTTTTTGTTCGAGCAGGAGGCGATTTGCTCCGTTCAGTTGGTTGGATTTTCTCTCTACTTAATAAACTTTTCCTTTCACACCTAATCGATCTAGCTTGTTGCGGTGATACCACCCTCTCGGCACTGCGTTTGGGAGACTTCCGTCGTCTAAAGCCTGGCGTTTTAGGACGACGAGGGGGTGCCTCGGTTGTCTCGGCACTGAGTTTCTCTGCGCTAAATTTCTCGTTGCTAAGTTTCTCGCCAGTGTCTTTAGTGCCATCAGGCTGCTTTTCTGTATCGGCTAATGTTTCCCTTTGAGTGGGCTGTAAATCTTTCCAGTCTTCATCTAATTCCTTTTGAGTTTCCATCTCTTGTCCGAGTTCAATGCCAGTCGCCTTCTGAAACAGCCAAATTTTGATTAAGATTAGTGAGGCAGTGAGCAAAGCACAAACTACCTTCTCTGGCGACCCGACGGTCCCCATTCTGGGAAGATGCTCCAGAGTAACTGGTTTGCGAGTAATTCAAGTGAGCTATGAGTCATACCCAACTTACGGTTTCCACTTTCCATCACATGATAACGAGTGATTAGCCCATCTGATAGTTACATTTTGCTGGGCTTATCATACTTCTCCTTCACATACAGGCATACGGTACGAATTTTCGGCCCTTTTTGCATCCTACTGCTTACTTTCAGGAATTTAAGTCAGATTTTGATCGAAATTCTTTGTTTTAAGGGAGATTTGGCTGGACGTAGGCCCTACAAATACGTGTGACGAGCGCTAGCGCCACAAGTAGCTTTGGCGCCGGCGAAGGTACATAACACGCCAAAGCCACCTGTGGCGCCGGCGCCCGTTGAGCGTATTAGGCGTGTTCACTCGCTTAGCTAGTGAAGTAAGATCCAACTGCGCAGTTCCAGCAAATCTAGGTAGTTGTTTGGCGCCGGAGCCTGCGGCGCGCATGCTAAGCAGTCCTGAGCCAAGCCGACGTGATATTGTGTTCAGAAGGTCGGGACAAGTTTTTAGCCAGTTCTACCCATAGAGAAAGATTCGTTTAAAATTTGTCCGGCATTTTGAAAGTGGGGTAGTCAAGGGTGGACAGTGCTGAATTTCCATATCCTAGAGCTCGGCCCCTGTCCACTCCCTGAAACTGGTAATTTCAAGATGTTTTATGACTATCGTGACGCAATAGCCATAATTTTTTGAAATCTAATTATAATTACTGGAATTACCAATTTTGACCTGCTTTCTTTACGGCCGGAAAATGCTGGTTCAAGTATTTCTAGACGACCTAGTATGGAATTCGAGTACAATTTATATATTCAGGTCTGTAGTGGATTCCTGGATAAGCGTTATCCGGCACTTGTTACGAGCAATGCATTTCTACCGGATTTAAAAAAAAAAACAAAAGTATCAATACTGCAATCTATCGGACAAGACCTTAATTGTCAAACGTACATTTCACGCCAGCGAAGTCAGTCGTCTCGCGTCGCGGTCATTGCGCGCGATTGAATGTGGATTCCTGTCAGATGATATTGACAATTAAGTTCTTCTATTACAGAAGAACTTAATTGTCAATATCATCTGACAGGAATCCACATTCAATCGATCAACGCACGCCGCGCAATGACCGCGACGCGAGACGACTGACTTCGCTGGCGTGAAATGTACGTTTGACAATTAAGTTCTTCTATCTATCGGCATGAAATACAGCCGCATCGCTGAGTAACTGAGGATGGTTTGCTCTATGAATGAATTGATACTGCTTATAAGTACTGGATAAGATTACTGAATACTGTAGTCACAGGGATACCGTATCCCCGTTATCTTTCGGTGATTTTGTTATCACATGCTCAGTGGAATCAGGTGAAACTCCATAGCTGAATCGTGCAACTCCAACTGGACTCCACCTAGTTCAACGTGGGTGGGGGAGGGAACTGAAAATTGGGAAGAATAACTTTTGGGGAGAATGTTTTTATCCCAATTTAGCGCGCTTAGTCATTATCACCGGTAGACCCTGTTACGTTGTTGAATTATAAACCACTGTTGAAATATTTCTTGGGCTGATTTTTTTCACCAGGCAATTGTTCTCCCGTCGGTTATCGAACTCCACATGCGGGCGCCAGTAACAGCTGCGTACGTCATTGTTACGGGCAAAAGTAATCCAATGGACTCTCCTAGTCCGACAGAAGTTTAAGCATAGTTTTTATCGGAGTAGGAGAGTCCATTGGATTACTCTTGCCCGTAACAATGACGTACATACACAGGTGTTCTGGCGCCTTTAATTCCTTTCGTGCAGAGCTTTTGTTAAAAAGTCTCTTGGAGCAGGCGATCGTCATTCATGTTCGTATAACATTCCACAGGATCCATTCGGTAACCGCTCTGGCTTAGCGGACGCCAGGGCACATCATTGGGTGGGGTTTTTGGTCTAGTCCGTACGACCTCCCTCCTTTTTTGGAGGGTTGGTACGACCCCCCCCTCCGGCCCTCTGTCCCTATGTCGGGGGGGGGTTTGAATAGCACATGTGAAACGTGAGAGGCCGCGAGAAAAAAAATACGACCCCCCCTCTTTTACCGATTCTCAGACTTTCCCCAACTTCAAGCCGCTTCTTCAAAATTTTCCGAAAATTTTCAAACAACGAGCTATTACGACCCTCTCCCGGTCCTTGAAGCGAGAAAAATCATTATCAAAATAAATACGATCCCCATCCCTCTCCTGGCGACAAAATACGACCCCCGTGTTGGGGATTCCCCAACACACGATGTGTCCTGGCGGGCGCTCGCAATGCATGACGTGCTCGGCTCACGTGATCTTCAAATTCTTGGCAAATAATATGAATGGTTCTGCTCGTTGCGGACACTGAGGCATATCACAGTAGGGAAGCTGGGTTTCGCGCCTTCGTCATCTCGTTCTGCACAGTTCTTGGACGTCCGGTGATTCTCCTGGTTATTGTGAGGCTAAGTGGAATTTACTACAGCCACTCCTGACGTCCTCTTTTGCATTTTCTCTTCACTGGCGAAAGAAATGCCCCTCCCATCCTATAATACTATGTTTATTCTCCCACACACAGAACCACTTCCGCAAGTCATTGTATAGGCCACATCGCATTCAATAAGCCACCACTACGATTCTGAATGGAAGTAGAATGCGTGCCGCATCCCACAAAGGGATTGATCAACGGCGAAGAC